CAAAAGGGTTTTCCACAAGAAACCAGGTGGCTTGTTTTCTCTCGGCTTGGCTTTACCAGTCGGAAAAATAACAAAAAAAAAGTATATACCTATAAATGGCGAAGGATGAAGAAGCTACTTAAACTCAAACCAAATGTAGCTTGTGGCACCCCAACAATATCCACAAATGTTTCGTCCACATATATACGATTCAGGAAAGTAATCACTACACTCGTAGGTTGGAATAAAACAAAATTTTTGGATTTCCTAAAACCAAATCACATTTCTTTCTTACTGTCAAATTCAGACTCGTGATCAGCCCTGTATAGTTATTAATAGCAAAACTCGGCCATCAACCGGAAGAACGTCATAATCGAACCTTCTAGAATAAACAATTTTCACCACGCAAGCTCGTCTCTAACCGTCACTTCCGACAGGAATAATTTTAACCGTTTTCCAAAATCCTTGAAAAGAAGAAAAGTAGCTGCATTCAATACACGGATACTGTCTCGACCATGGAAACCACAACCAAACGCGCGTCAACTATGACAGCGTCGAAACTTGACTTTTCGAAAGTCGAGTCAGTTAAGACCAGTTGACTGTCAAAATATTTATATCAACAAAAATATATTATAAATTGATCGAATTAACGATCTAAAAATACACAGAAAGGTAAATAGATGCCCAACTAAAACTATCCTAATTACACATAATACATTTTTAGAACAATTGTCCAGATATTCAATAACCTCAGTGAAATATAGTTTTCACCAGACTGAAACTATGGGGTATGGCGAACTCCACAGGAAAAAAAATTGTACAAAAAGATATAACCACGTTAGCTTGCCTTGTTGACGGAGACAAACCTAGGTTAAGCTAAAACCTCGGGTCGTTTTAGACGTAATGTTCGTGGATTAGTTACACAGCTATCAAAGTAAGTCATTAGACCATACGGTCAAACTTGGGTTATATGCATTATCAAAAACAAACTAAATAAAATAAAAATAAACTCTTTCCGCTGATGGAGTATAAGGGATTACAATATTGGCAAAAAAATGAGAAGATAAAATGCATCACCAAGTGTCACAGGCACCCCATCGACAAATACTTTAAACAAAGAATCAAACTCGTAAATTCCGATCAAAAAAATCAATTCACTACAGTGAAACCCGAAGAATTTCCGTACGTTGTAAGCTGGACACTCTAGGACAAAATTATTGTTTCAAGTGATATCATGACCACTACCACAATAATCAAACATTAATACAAAAATAAGCAAAATATCTAAAAACTGCGTGCCACCATGACAGACCCCGAAGAAAACCTATCGACCGCCGTAAGCTGGAAATCAGAGAACCACCATGGGCACTCTATGAGAGAAGTCTAGTCTCAAATGACACAAAATATGTACACATTAATATTTCAACTTAATAAGACACAAAATGTACAAAGTGTATCCAAAAACAAAGTCAATTACCAAAAATTGTTAGGACGAAATCAGATCGTTACAAAATCCTAGTGTAATGCGTCCAAGTGAGTGACATATGATAAAATTTCTGGTAATTTTGACAAATGCAGAAAGTGTGAATATTCTTTGCTGCTAAAATTTTGTTTATAAGGGATAAGTTTACCCACAGAGGCCGATATTATTGATTTTGTTCCGATCAAGTTGAGATCGTCACCCTGCAGCTGCAAATTAACTTTGTTAAACAAACCAAAGATATCAGTTTTACAACCGTATAGATTTTCTTTCAAATTCGGATCTTTTTCTTGTAGAAACTCCAACACAGATTCAATAATATCTGAAAATCTTGCTAAGCAGGAGCCTCTTAATAGCCAGCAAACTTCAGTGTACCGAAGAAACCGAGAAAGACTTCGTCGTGTTCCTCGCATAGCTGAGCAAATAACCAAGAGTTTAAAGAATTGCTTCGAATCTTGTTGACAGCGTTTATAACATTGTAAAGACTGGTGCAACCTAGGAATCAGATTTTTTGATACTAAATGCTATCTGTGAATCACCAGTACCTCAGGCAGTTGTCGCTTTAAGTGAACTATAAAACTACGATGACGACCAACCATAGATGGTGCACTATCAGTCGTAACAGAAACAATGTTCATTGTCGGAAAAAAAACGGTAAAAAAATCGATTCTGCTCTGGTATCAGTGCAGTTCTTGCCAAATATTTTAATCTTTTATATATCGAACATATCATACAACAAATATCCATTGCCGGGTAATGTAAACTCGTCCAACTGGAGAGAGAATATGTTGGTCCGTAGAATATTACGTAAAATGTTTTCCACGTCTCAACCCATCTCGTCTATTCGTCTCTGAACGGTGTTATTGCTCAACGGAATTCTCTTTATAATATCATTTGCGGGCTTGTGCAATACATTGTTGAGAACCTCCGCAAATGGCTGGTAAAATAAACTACACTCCAATTGTGTGGGATTTCCCCAACTTGGCTAATAATAAAGATATATTATAGGATGCTCGTAAACCGCCAACGTCTTGCATAGATGATGATGCAAACATTGATCTTATGAATGGCCTTTTCTCTAGTTTTTCTTTAAGTTCTTGAAAGAATAACAAGGGTTTACTTTTTTGTCTGCATATACTCTTACTAAGTATTCCACCATTTTTGAAGGCTTCGTAGCATCGTTACTGAATACTTTTTTACACATGAGACACATCGGCAAGTGTTGATTTGATAGAGGTAAATCCAACCTTCAAGTAGTCAAAATTGTATTATCTGTAATTTTGTACGTGTCTGCCATCATAAAACTCGCAGTAAACAATAATAAAACTGTTAAATTTGCACACGAACCTTATTTTTATCACACCTAGACACTGGATGTTTTTTAGGTATGCTCACAAACTTACTCATTCATAAATTTGTATAAATATAATACTGTAGTATAGAAAATTTGTATTAGGTGCCAATGAGTGTAAAAAACGAAAACAAAGAAAATTGAACATTTATAATTTTAGGTAACAAATTTTCTAAAATAATTTTAAAAAATACTCAAATATTAAAAGGTTTTTTGGTACTTACCCTGTTACTTCTTCATAAACAGCAGAAATGTGTGGTTATGAGATTAACGCGCGTAGGCAACTAAGCACTAATTCTTTTTCAATCACTTTAATTTAATTCACTTTATTTAACTATGTAATCACTTTGTAATCTTTTGAAATAAATTTCAAAGAGCAAATGAACTTTCAACCTAAGTGCATATAGTAAAATATCAGGAGCATATTTGGACTTGGACTTCATCATGATTTCCTTCATGTAAACTAGCGTATATGAGTCAAATACAGAGCAAATCAAAAGTACCTGAAAGTTTTGTAAGCTCGAATTCATTATCTTGCACGAACTTGCCCACGCTTATTGACTTGCTGAGTTTTTCATCTTGTACGTATCTTATTCAACGAACAAATGAAGATTGAATAGAATAAAAGTAAAAAAAATCTAAGTTAACTTTGTGACGTAAATGTGGTTGGTGTGTTAAGTCATGCCTACATTCTTTAGTGATCGGTTCATCCAATGAGATTCTAAATTACAGAAATGGTTACCTACATCATGAAGTAATTGATTGTAACTGGAAAAAATACTTGCATGCCATTTAAGTAGGGCCTTTATTAGCATTGTGACGGGGCAGAGTTTTTATGAGGAAGCGCGTGCCTGCACAAAAGCGTATTCAGGTTTACAGTCAAAAATATGTTTTTTAACACTTGTAATTGAAAAAGGCGAGCCAATCTTAGATATATATATGATATTTTAATTATATTAATTCATATTGTTCATATTCATATGGCATATAAATAATATCCAATTTAGCAGCCATTTTGACAGCAGACAGAATTTTTATGTATCAAAATATCTCGAAATTATAGTATCCTACTAACTAATTTGCAAAGCATTTGAAGAAAAGGTAGGTGATAAGCTGTCTGTAAAAAAATATCATTCTTTAAGCGATCGAAGATGGCGGCTATCGTTTGTGTGAATGCATATAGATTAACGTTGAATTGAAAAATCCTGCTTAGTGGCAATGCCAAAAGGACCTAAGCATGTATCTGGACTATTATTGATCGGATTTAAATGGAATAAACGGGGAGTGGAAGGAAATTACATGTAGAATAACGTTAAAGAGAAAACTATGCACAGTGGCAATGTCAAAAGGCCTGTCTATATCTCAGCTGGTACTGGTCCAAGTCAAACGGGAATTATTTAACAGACGTGTCATACAGGGACATTCAGGAATATACAGGGACATACAGGGACATACTGTCATCTGTCAACTGCAACCTAATCTAAGCGTCTTATACGAAAAACCATCCAACCTAACGCCTTCCTCTGGAGACATAAAGAACTGGAGGAGGCCTAGTGAGGAGAGTGAGGAGTAAGTACATGTAGAATAATATTGAAGCGCAGTGGCAGTAAAGGCACAAGTTTATATCTCAGCTGGTATTGGTGCAATTCAGACGGAAAAACTAAACTTATCATAAAAATATCCATCATGAATAATATTTCTGTAGACAATCTGTAGACAATCTGTAGATATCTGTAGAAGCCTGTAGATGATCTACAGACAATCTATCTTAGGTTCTTTTGGTATTGCTACTGAGCAGTATTTTTCTCCTCAACGTTAATCTATATCATGTTCTATACATAATGCCGTTTTCCTCGTTTAAATCCGACCAATAATAGCCCGAGATACATGCTTAGGTCCTTTTGGCATTGCCACTGCGCAAAATTTTTCCATTCAACGTTAATCTATTTGCGTTCACGTAAATAATGGCCGCCATCTTGGATCGCTTAGCCGAGTTACAACCCACTTAGCCGAGTTTCAATTGTCTACCACTGACAGGTGGTGCCATCTAGCGAAGACTTTGGAAGTAGTGAGCCAGAAGTCACTTTGTCTATCTACTATAAGGAAGGGTTCCATCTTAGAAAAAAGCAAATTATTGTTAAATATACGACCCCAATTCAACTGAACCATTTTGTTATTATAAAAACCTACCTAAACAAAAAACTCGCCCATCAAAATAGCCATAACCACCACCTCTCAAGCTCTCTACATCAAAAGACAAAAATACGTCTAGTAGCCCGGGAATATCAAACGTCTTACATGGCTGATGTTGCCCGTGGGTCGAATACAATCCGTAATTAAAGTTGCTCGTCGCGATTTTCTTCAAACCCTGTATGGAAGTGAGCAGCAACGCCATCTTGGCCAACAGTAAGGCTTTGCCTCCTAGGATGGCGAGGAATTGAAATCCCATCGGTATAACTATAAAGGCTGCAGCAATTAGACCGAACATCAGGAGCTGGGAAAACATGTTTTGGCGACGGCGACCTCTACCTGCAAAAATGAGAAACCGAGATATTTATATTGCATTTCCTGCATAAAGGTATATAGTCCAATCAAAATTTTTCTACGCCCACATGGATATTAGCTTATCTTCGCACAGATTACAAAAGAAAAAAGTATGCTATTGCCTTCAACTGAACGAATATATTTCATATTCATTCTAGGTAGTAATAACACTGCAAAAAAATTTAATCCACCAATCACAGTTCATATTTTGATCAACCGAGTGATATTATTTTTAAAATTTTAAATAAGTGACAATTCTGTCAAACTAATTGTCAGTATATTTCTTAGTTATTGAGATTAAACATACATTAAAATGAGTTATTATTGTGTAGAATCGATAAATAATAGAATTTCTGTTTTTATTTCATCTATAATTATAAGTATTTTGTTAATTTAATTAAAACTATATGAAATCAATTTAAGAGTAACAAAGCAAAAAAATAAACGCGTAGATGGTTCTGTGATCGGCCTTCATGCCTTCCATACGAAAGACTCGTGTTCGAATCTCAGATGGAGAAATATAAAATAATTTTTTTTTATTTATTTTTCTTTTTATTTCTTGTTTATTTTATTTTATAAATTAGTAAAAGTCATAAAATATTTTTAAATTAATTATATTATCTTAATAACCTAAAATAATTTTTAATATTTGTAGATTTTCGTTGCACAAACTACTATTTTTTTAGTGTTCTCACTACCTAGAATGGAAATGAAATATATTCGTTCAATTGAAGGTAATAGCATACTTTTTCGCTTTGTAATCTGTGCGTAGATAAGCTAATATCCATGTGGGTATAGATTCTACACAAGAATAACTCATTTTAATGTATGTTTAATCTCAATAACTAAAAAATATACTGACAATTATTAGTTTGACAGAATTGGCACTTATTTAAAAAATGTTAACAATAATAGCAATCGGTTGATCAAAATATGAACGATGATTGGTGGATTTCATTTTTTTGCAGTGTTCTTACCCAGAATGGATATGAAATTTATTCGTTCAGTTGAAGGCAATTGCATACCTTTTCGTTTTGTAATCTGTGCGTAGATAAGCTAATATCCATGTGGGTGTAGAAAAAAATATAAAAGCAACTGTTATTTATTTTTTGACCAGAATTTTTATTTTTGTGTTCAAGGTGGCGACTTTAACTGGAACTAATTCGCTAGAGCCGCAAGATAAAATATTTTATTAAAACGCTAAAACAGGTTGATTAAATTTTTCTGAGGTCTTTCCAGTCATATTAAAAAAAAAATTTACATCCCTTTCAAATCGTGAAATCTAGCACCAATATTTTTGTTTTTTTTTTTTTGATGGGGTATTGTGGCATATTGTTGGAATGTTCTTTTAACAAGAAAATTAAATGTGAAATTTTTTTCTCATTTTGATTTGATAAAAAATGCAGTTTTCTTTAATAGTAAAGCTGATCGACCTCACACAAAAATCAGAATTGCAACTAGGTAGGTTAAACGTAGTTTTAAGATTTATTTTATTTTTGATTTTTATAAAAGTTTTTTTTGATAAATTCGCTATCAAATTAAAATAACAAAAAACTGCAAAGTCAAAAATTTTCTTTATAAAAGAGCTTTCGGACAAGGTATTACAAATAGTATCATCCCATTTTAAAAAATTAAGTGGGGTTAGGTTTCAGCCCTTAAAAAAAGTAAAAATTTTTTATATATGACTAAAAAGCGCACAAAAAACTCAATTAACCAGTCCCCACCCTGTTCACAAAAATAGGAATTCTGGTCAAAAAATAAAAAACAGTTACTTTTATATTTTTTCTTTACAATTAAATGATGCAATCAGTTTTTTTTTTTTTTTTAATTGAAACAAATTACATCAATATTAAAGAAATAATTCATTGTTGCCATTGTCATTTTTGCCTTTATCCATTTTTGAGCATGTTTTTTAATAATGACTATATATTTTTTATAATTTATTAAAAACTAGATGTCCAAGCGAAAAAAATAAGTTCCTGAAGAACTTTATACGATGATTTTTCACTGTAGAATTTTTTTAAAAATATTGTTTTTAACCGAAAAAAATTAATGTTTAGAAACTTTTTGGATTTCTTATTTAAAAATTTGTTTGCTTATTTAAGACACATAAACGTATAATTTCATCAAATTTCATCAAAATTGAATTATTTTTAGAAAAAGAAAAAATGAAAAACGAAATTCGAAAGAAATTTTGCATTTTTATCGGAAATATGAGGTTATGTTAAAAAGTCACCTATACAAAAGCTGTATATTTTTGCTTGATCTATAACTTTTTGTTTCTGAAGTCAACTTTTGCCGGAAAGCACGATAATATCATTTTTTACCCCTTTTCAACCCCTTAAAATTTTACTTCAAACACCCTGGTTGCATTTATTTTTTTTTTTTTATTTACTAAAAGCCCTCTACTATTTACACTTATCAAAGTCCTGTTAACAATTTTATTTTTTTTTTTTATCTAAATGAGTTAATTTGACTGGTTTAATATCTAATTATCCTAAAAGTTAACAGTTTTGGTAGTATTGTACCTATCGTATAAACATACATTGGGGTCTATTCTGTAACAATTCCTTTATATTTAACGGCCTTTAAAAATATTTTCTTCTTTACTTCTGTCATTATTTAAACGGATCTTTAAAATACATTACAGGACTATCTTAAAGAATCTGTTTAAATAATGACAGAAGTAAATTAACGAATACGAACATATTTTTAAAGGCCGTTAAATATAAAGGAATTGTTACAGAATAGACCCCATTGTCAGTTTTGGACCTATCGTCGATAGAGAGTACTCTTTACATCCTGCATTTGACAAAATTATTGTTACTTTTTTTTGTTGAATGAAAATAGTTTCAGATACAACATAATTTCTCATGACTAAATTCTATAGAATGTAATGAAAATAAGAAATGCATGTTATCTACTTACTTTAAGAATGTACTTATATTAGTTTAGGGGGTATATTCTATAAAAATTTGGTTAAAATTAAGCTTGGGTTATAAATACAGTGTGGCACAGCCAAATGGAATAAATTCGGTATTTGGGGGAGTGTTCGCAAAAACGCTTGGACACTTCGATTGGTATATTTAGCTGCGCATTTTTTTTTTTTTTTGACAAAAACTTTTTATACAGGGTGTGTCATGTAACAATGGCCAATACCAACTTTCTTCTTTTCAATGCAACACACTGTGTATTTTTAAATTTTTGGATTCTTCCGAAAAATCTAGACATATTTTATCTACTATGTCCTATACCTAACTGTTTCGGAAATATTAAATGTTTTCCAATTTCTAGCAAAAATTAACAGTAACAAAATAAAATTGTTTGATTACAGAAATTCGCTAAAACACGCTCAGCACTTATTTCCCTTTTAGGTCTTGATAATGAGAAAGTAAGCAGAAACCATTTCAGCGTTCCTTTTTTCTGATATAACAAAAAGCTATACTTAAATACTTATTTTTACTTTTGTTTAAAAGGCCTGACCTTAGCAAATTGTTATCTGACTAAATGGCAGTAGTTGTCAATGTTATAATCGTTTGAATTTCCTTAATCAAAAATATGGTTCATTTAACAAAAATGAACAAAATAACAATTCTACAGATGATTGGTTATGGAGATAACACATAAAAAATTTCCAAATTTGCTGCGTATATACTAAGGGACAATTAGTAAAATATAGAAGCAGTTTCGCGATCTTAGATATGCAAGGCAGATAAAAAACAACTGCCAATGCAATAACTAATGACACCATATTGGATATTATGCTTGAGTTTCAGGAAAACCCACATATTTCTAGTCGACAAGCAGTCCCAATGTTCGATAGTAGCCATTCATCGATTAGGTATTCGAACATTAAAAGAAAATAAAATATATTCCTATAAAATAAATGCAACTCAGGAGTTCATGGAAGACGATTTTAATAGGAGAACGGAAGTTTGTAAATAAATGATGGCAATGTTAGATAATATTGTAATTAGAACATTTTTTGTTTTCTGATCAGTGTACCTTTACGCTTCACGGTCATGCTAATCGTCCGAATTGCTCTAAGAAATATCCACACTGGATGAGAGAAGAACATACGCAATACCCTGAAAATCTTAAAGTTTAAGCAGGGATTTTTGGCGATCATATCATAGGTCCCTTTTTCATTGATGGCAATTTGAATGGTCATAATTATTTAGCAATGCTCCAAAATAATGTGCCAACTTTATTGAACTTATATCCTGATCCAGCAAACTCACAAGTTCCAGCGAATATGATATGGTTTTAGCAAGATGGAGCACCGCCCCATTACCAAATCAATGTCCGGCAGTACCTCAATCGAGAATTTCCAAATCGGTGGATAGAAAGGCGAGGATCGATGGAATAGCCAGCACGATCCCCTGATCTGACATCATTAGACTTTTTCATATGGGGATATGTCAAAAGTATTTTATGCACAACTAAACCTCTCGACCTAGCTGACTTGAGAAGACGAATAACGCTTGCGATTAGATCGGTGACGCCTGAGATGTTGAGTAACGTTAGAAGACATTTCTTACTTTAGATTAGTATGTTGCCAAGAAGTTGATCTCCTACATTGATATTTATTTTTTTTGTTACATTAGCAAGAATTAAACAGTATTATTTATTAGTTTTTGAATATGTTTTAACGATTTTCTGAAATCAAATAACTTTATTTTATTAATGTTAATTTTTGCAATAAATCGGGAAACATTTAATATTTCCGAAACAGTTAGGTATAGGACAGGGGTCGGCAAACTGCGGCTCGTGAGCCACTTTGGCCCCTTGAGTGTGGCTCTTCCCCAAATTACAACGTGTAGACTCGCACAATTGAAACTGATGGCTGCTTTTCTAATTTATATTTGTTCATACTTAGTTTATGTGTCTTCACCTTTAGGCGAGTACTCTGGAGAGACTTCCAAAAAGATAAAATATCAACGTGTATCGAACAATATATTACTCCTCCGCAGAAAAGACTTGAATTGTAGAAAAA